CATCCTTCTTCTCTGCCACCTTTAGCTTGTTACCTTTCTTCTTCAAGTATGTGGTCTTACGGCCCCCAAACGGTTGCTGTAGCTCCAAGTATCATATCCTCACGTAAAATCTTCCAAACCAGGAAGGGAGAGGGCAGCTCCTCACACATCTATCTCTTCTAGTAAGAAGGACTATCTTTCCCAGAGACCCTCAGCAGACTTCTTACCATTTTTTGGCTAAAATTGGGTCATGTGTCCATCCTGAGACCAGTCACCTATAAAGGGGAAGAAGATTGTCATGACTAGTTCCAGTTACGATTCAACCCCTCGGGCTGGGGGATCTGCAACAGGGGATAATTGATTTAGTTGTCTCACTGTACCCTTTTAGTCTGAATTCAGTAAAATCACTCTCTTCCAAAAATATTTCTCTACCCCATTTCCTCTTCTGTAACATTTTCTCTCCCCTGGTTCCATGCCTCCGTGGGGATCAACTCCAGGCACCTTTCCACTTCCAACAGTGTTTATCAGATTTCGTTCATTCTAGCCAATTCTTCTCCTGGTATGTGACCCCAGCATCCTTTTCCCAGAATATGGGCAACCATCTTGATGCCCTGATCTCCCTCCATATGATTTTTCAGAACTGGCCTTAAAGGGAACTCAGCAAGCTTCTCACTTCTCTTTGCAGAGTTTTAGCTGCCACAACTACCTGTATTGCTTTGGCCTTTTTTTTTTTTTTTTTCAACCAGAGGGGTCATGTCAGAGAGAGGAAGGTAAAAAGTTGAACACTTTCTCACACTATTTTACTCTATTTGTTTCCCCACCCTAGCCTCTGTCTTTCACCTCTGATTCTCCTCTCCCAGAATCTATGGCCTGACTTTTCTACCACATCTCTTTATACTTCCTTTTTTTTTTTTTTTTTTTTTTTTTTTTTTTGCTGGTCTCTCACTGTTGCGGCCTCTCCGTGGCATGTGGGATCTTCCCGGACCGGGGCACGAACCCGTGTCCTCTGCATCGGCAGGCGGACTCCCAACCACTGCGCCACCAGGGAAGCCCTCTTTCTACTTCTTATTGCTGCTCTGCTTCTTCCTTTTGGATGATTTTTGCAACTAGACTCCCAGTCTTCTTGTTCCTACCTACCCCCATCTGTTCTTCACCTCCCACCCCCTCTCCCCCAACCCTAACCTGGTCTACTTTTTGCCCCTTCCCAGGGTCCAAGTGAAGCAGATTCACTTCTCTGCTTCGCATCACAGCCTCCCTTGCCCCACCAGGCACATACACAGACTTGCTAAACTATCCTAAGATTCTGGTCACAGGTGGTATATTCAGGTCAGGAAGAGTTATCAAGTCAGCCACGTCCCCGGGCCCCCCTGCTTCCTGCCTGCCCCTCCGCCCTACTCTGACTGACACTGGTTCATGGATAGTCTGAGCTGCAGTGGTTTCAACACCGACCACCTTCAGTCAGGCTGCGTGGACCGTCTCTGCCAATTTCTTAATGACTTCTTGAGTGGCTTTCCTAGGCTTCTGGTCACGCTTGGTGATTTAAAACTCCTAGCCTCCTCCCCATTCTCCTACGAGCTGAGACTTGACCTGTGGCCCAGGGAACCTATGGCAGAGATGAATCTAGTCTACACTTCTTCCCATCCTTCTGGGTTACACTGCCCTAGGTTTTTTGGGGGGGGGGGACACTTCCTTCTAAGAGGGAAAGGTTCCTACTCCCATGGCCATCAATGACTCCCTTTTATAAACCTTTAAAAACTTGTTTTGTTAATTAACAAAATTATACTGCTAAGAGACCTAGTTCTCTAAAAATCACAGACTGGGAACTCCCTGGTGGTCCAGTGGTTAGGACTGCGCACTTTCACTGCCGGGACCTGGGTTCGGTCCCTGGTCAGGGAACTAAGATCCCACAAGCCGTGTGGCGTGGCCAAAATAATAATAATAATAATAAATTTAAAATAAATAAATAAAATAAAATCACAGACTGTCAGCAACGTGGCTATTTGAAATCCCATCAGCGAGCATGGAGCATTCCTCTGCTGCTTGCAGGCTCTGGGCAGGAACCTGTGACACAGAGAAGCAGCCTTGCTTTTCAGCCCCCCAGAGCTTCAGATAAGGAGTTTTCAGGCACGAAATTCTACCTTTATCTTTATTTTGTATTTTCCAAAGAATCGGACCCCGGGTCTGCTTCTCAGCCCAGGCCTGAGATTGACCTCTTTCCACCCAGGCCTGCTGTGCTTTGAGCCTATCAAATACAACTTCATCAAAGCATCACCTCAACGTCACCCTTACCCCAAACCTCTAATAACCCCGTCTCTTCTTTCGTGAGATGCCCCACGCTTCCTCTGGAGTGTGGTCTCCTTTGCTCCAGCAAGAAAATGAACACAGCTTTGTTGGGCTGCAGTTGTGTGAGACAGGCTTCATCACTCTGTAAGTAAGGAGACCTGTTATCTAGCTCATGCGTTCTCAGAACAGGCAGTATTGCTCCCAAAGATGTGAAAATTAGTTCTGGGGGAGCCAAAAAGTCTTACGGTGGTTTGTGGCCTTCCAAAAGGCACACACATAAACAGATACATGGTATGTCTGTTGTATCAAAATTTCATGGGCAGGGAGGGGAAGGTACTGAGTAGGAGGAAAAGATCCTAAAAGGCTCCTTGAGGGAACAATGATACAAAAGTTTGAGCAACAGTGCTTTAGCTGATACTGAATAGCTTTTGGTGTCTGCTGTGAGTCAGGTACCGGGATGCTGGCTCTCTTTGGCAGCTAGAATTGAGTTCTTCTGACCTCGGTCTTGGGAGGCCCAACCTGATTTGACCTCTCCCAGCACCCCAGAACTCCCCCACTCAGCCCTGTTCCTGCGATGCCCTCATCCATGGGAGCCTCATACCTGCTTGCTCTGCCAGATGGGGAGAGTGCCTGGTGCCCCGTCATTCACACATACGCGCCCACACCACCTCTCTGCCCGTCTCCCTCCTCTGCTTAGATGGGCACGGGGCAGCTGCCCCAGAACACGTGCTCTACTCCTTGAGCACCCCTTTCCCTTGACTTCCGAGAGATATGGAGAACACTACAACTCTGCCCTCACCACCACCCAGCCTCTGATGACTTTTCATTCTCCCCACCCGTCAGCCTTCAGTTTACACAGACTGGGGTAAGGGTGGGGTCCTGGGTGACAGCTGGGGGCAGCAAAGCCAGCTGAGCTGCCTCTTCTTCCTCGGTGTAAACTCTGGGGAGGAGTCAGACTCCTGTTCTCCATGGATCTCTCTGGAAGGCGGGGTTTCCAACTCTTCTTTGTCCTCACTCGTGGGTCCTTGCTACCACTCCTGGAGCTGCAAGACTCCACGTCACCACTGTGCCCTTTCTGAACCACGCAGACCCATGTTCACATCAAGGTCTGAGTGCCTTAGGACAGACAGATGAGCCATGGGACAGAGGGACAGCTCATGCCTTCATCTCTGTACAGAGACGATGTCTCTCTCCCTCCACCTGAGACCCAGTCCCCATCCACAGCCAGTCCTCATTCCCCAGCGACCTTAACCTCAGGGAGAAAACAGATGCTAAAGACGTTAGTATTGAAATCCCGAAAGTTCTGAGCGCAGCCATCTGCACACAGTAAGTGCACCATAAATGTTTTCGAACTAAAGCTGACCGGGACTTCCCTGGCGGTCCAGTGGTTAAAACTCCGAGCTTCCACTGCGGGGGGGCGCGGGTTTGATCCCTGGTCAGGGAACTAAGATCCCACATGCTGTGCCGTGCGGCCAAAATAAAAAAATAAAGTAAGAGACTTCTTGGTTTGTCATTAAAAGAAAAAAAAAAAAAAGCAAACTAAAAGAAGAAATAATAAAGCTGACAGTGCGAGCAGGTGCCAGCATTTCTCTGGTTGCTTTCCCAGGGGAGGAGGCCCAGACCGACGCTTTCTAATGCACCACCCCGCAGTGGAAAATGAAAAATTACTAAGTGATCACAGTTTGATAAAAATAGCTCTTAAGAACACACATTTGTCTTTGTAGTAACCCGAAGTCAACTGGGCTAACTAATTCTCTTCATTTATTTTTTTCCCAGAGGGTTTCTTTACTGGGAGGAGGATGTATCTACACAAATAGTCGATCTGCTTTGCATCTAGTTATGCTTTTCATTGTGGCCTGTTTACATTTGTCCTGGTCAGACTGCCTCAGCCGACTCTGGAAGTTTGACTGGGCCCAGTCACGGCAGATGACACACAGCTGGTGGCAGAGTGGCTCAGGGACCTGAGATTCAGAGTCAACTAATTTCAGCTTCCAGTCCTGCTTCCACCACTTATTGGCTATGGGATCTCAGGTGAGAGACTTCACCTCGCCGGGCCCATTCCCTCACCTGTAGAATGGGAATAGTCATAGTACCTGCCTCACGGCTACTGAGAAGATTAAAGGCGATGTCAGGCTAAGCCCTTAAGATAGGTTAGCTATTACTTTTATTCTTCCGATCCAAATCCTCTCCCAGCAACTAGGCATCTTATAGTTTAACACTTCTCCTTCAGAGTCTTCGTGTTTTATCCTTCCATCCATCAACACCACCTAAGGTACGCTCACATACACCGCCCACACACACCATAAAAACAAAAAAAGATTAAGAAAAAACCATTCTCTTTTGCTTGCTACCAAGTTTATTTAGGTAATTTTTCTTCTGTCATTTTTCATGAATGTCCCTGAAAGTCTGAATTTATTGAACAGTGGAAACCTGCTGGAAGAGCGCATGTCACAGCAGGGTGCTCCCTCATTCCTGGAGTCCTGTGTCCCCATTCCTGCCCAGCTGAGTCGGTAGTTCTGAAGGACAGATTCTTCCTCTCTCCTGTCCCAAGTCACTGGGCAGCTGCCTCAGACCCTGGACGCTGCTGTCAGCTCCTCCTTCACCTTCAGCAAAGCACAGGAGCTCGCCTGCTGCCCCGGGGAGCTCCTTATTCTCCAGAGTTCTCTCTCACCGTGACCGCTCCCTGAGCGTGTTGGGGCACGAGAAGGGAGGGCAGTGTGGCAAGATCAAGAGCTGGGCTAAGGCTGGATACCTGCTCTGACCCAAACAGTGCCCGTCCCCAGCCTGCCTCTCCGAGGTGCTGCCTGACTTGAGCTTGGAACTGCCCCAGGGATGATCTGCTTTGCAGGCCAGTCCACCTGGCCACCCGCTCCAGAGCCCCCCTGTATGTTAGACAGCTCCTGTGGCGGCCCCTCTCCTTCACTCTTCAGTGTCACGCTGCCTTCCTGCCACCAAGGGCCACAGGCTCCAGTCAGCCTCCCCAGCAGCCCCTGGAAGTCAGCTTGGAACCCAGATGATGAGAAATAGTAAAGGGTGTCGACACAGGAGTTCAGGGTGTTGAGGGGCAGCACGGAACTTCTCCACTTCGGGCTTTCACCCTGGATGTAGCCCACAGCATGGGACACGTTGTAGGGCCCAAAGCAGACGAGAAAGTTGAGCAGCATGGCTGCTGCGAGCCCACCACCCACTTCCGCTGGCGCTGGCTGGCTCCCTTACCGAGTATGCACACCGGGCAGCTATAGCAGTAGCTGGTGATGAGCAGGGGCACCCCAAAAAGGACCGCAGCCATCTCCAGCTGGACAGGCAGAAGAAAGGCCAGCTGTTCCTTCTGGATTTCCAGGTAGCGTGTCCCACCAGCTGATCCTTCCAGAGTTCCAGGTAGCAGGTCCCGCCAGCTGATCCTTCCAGAATTCCAGGTAGCAGGTCCCGTTGATACCCTGGGTGGGGGAGGAGCGCCCCGAGAATTCAGTGACATAGACCACACTGCAGTGAGCGGTGGCCAGGAGCCAGCAGGCCCCGCTGACCAGGCCAGCCTGTCCCGGCCTTGGCCGGGTCTGGTACCAAACTGGGTAGGCCACGCTCAGGAAGCGCTCATCGCTCACAGCTGCCAGGAAGAGGGACGGGAGATAGATGGTGGTGAAGAAGAGGAATCTGGAGAAGGGGCAGAAGATGAAGGGCAGGGGCCAGCGCGTGCCGCTCGCTGCCTTCACCACGTGGAATGGCAGGAAGAGCACCGGGGTGCGGGGCCGATAGGGTCAGGTTCAGCAAGAGCACGCGCACGGCCGCCGGACAGCGCTGCAGCTTGTCCACGAGGATCACCAGGGCCTCCAGCTTCAGGGGAAGCCCCGTGAGGAAGGTGAAGAGGTACATGGAGCAGTGGAGCCCGTGATTGCCGAGGAAGAAGGACCGGTCTGAGCTGGTGTTCGTGGTCATGGCCACTAGCAAGAGAGGGACAGAGATGACAGTCTGGGTGGGCATCTTGCACCATCCGCTTCTCAGCTATCAGAAGGGAACGTCATCGCCAGCCTCACTCCCTCATGCCCCCAGTGCTTTCCCCAGTGGGGTCAGCCTGCCTGTCTTCCTGGTCATAGCCTGGCTCCTATCCCTTTCCTGTCCCTCTCTTCCTGGTCACACCCTGTCTGCTGTTTCCTTTCTCTAAGCACCAAGGTGCCGTCCACAGAGCCCCTCAGGGTCCCGTGCTTACCTGCTGCTTTGAGAACCCAAGTTCTCTGCCACTCAGCAACTCGCTGGCTCCTCCAGAACAAGTCCGGTGAGCTATTATCTGGCAGAACTGATAAAAACCTGGCAGTGCCCATGACGTCACTCACTGCCGAGCAATGGCACAAAAGATGCCGTTAGCTCTGTGAGCAGTGCCGGCCCAGTACACAAAATGAGGGGCAAATTCCACGACTGCCTGCGCGCCTCGCTCCCCAGCAGCCTCAGATGGGATGAGCAGACTTCGTCTTCTTCTCTCTGATCCTCTACTTGAATTTTATCTGCTCCTCTAGAATGGCACTCATCCAGTTTGCCTTGTTGTAAGGGTAGGAAGTGTGATACAGTGATGTAGAGCTTGGGCTCTGGAGCCGGGGCTTGGGTTCAATGCTGGTCCTATCACTTACTAACTCTGTGATTTGGGGCAAGTGACTTAAGCCCTCTGTATCTCTGCTTTCTCATCTATAAAACAGGGATAATCATAACCAATCTCATAGGCTTGTGTACATTAAAGCGTTAATATGTGTCAAAGGCTAAGTTAAGTGGTAAGCATGGCGAGCCCTTGACAGATGCCGTCTGCCAGCCACTCGAGTGGGCTTGTCTTTGGGCCAATAGTAATAATATTAACATTGGTGGCAATGATGACGACAGCTACCTTTCAGTGGGCACATAATCCATAGCAGACCCACTGCTTCTCAGGGCACCACCTTATGTCTTGAAATCCTCACAGTGGGGAAGTGATTCACTCCAGGTAATACAGCTTGTTAAGTATCACCACCAGGATTCAAACTTCTGTCCAGCTTCAGAGAGTATTTACTTATTCATTCAAATATCTATGGAGTGCAATGAGATACCATTTCATATACCCACTAGAATGGCTATAAGCAAAAAAAAAAAAAAAAAAAATCGGATAATACCAAGTGTTGGTGAGGATGTGGAGAAATGGGAATCCTCATACATTGCTGGTGAGCATGTAAAATGATGGAGTCACTTTGAAAGGCATCATAAATCTACCACGTAACCCGATTCTGCTATAGGTATCTACTTAAGAGAAATGAAAACATATGTCCACGCAGAGACTGGCTCATAAATGTTCATAATAGCATTCGTCATAATAACCAAAAAGTGGAAACATCACCTGGTGGTCTATCAGCCAATGAATGGATAAACCATGTGGCATAGCCATACAATGGAATACTATTTGGCAATGAAAAGGAATGAAATACCCATGTATACCATAACACAGATAAACCTAAAAACATTGTGCTAGGTGAAACAAGCCAGACATAGAAGACCATGTATGTTTCCATTTTTATGAAATGTCCGGAATAGGCAAATGTGTAGAGACAGAAGATAGATTACTGGTGGCCTGGGGACTGAGAGTGGAAATGGGATGAACTATAAGTGAATATGAGGGATCTTCCTGGGGTGATAAAAATGTCCTAAATTGGATTATAGTGATATAATATAATCCACACCTTGGTAAATTTACTAAAGATCACGGAATTGTACATTTAAAGTGGATGAATTTTATGATATGTAAATTTTATCTCAAATAAGTTGTTAGAAGTACAGCAGTGAACAAAACAAGAAGTACAGCAGTCTCGGGGGGGGGGGCTTGAGTGGGGGGGGGAAAAAAAGACATCAATAACACAGAGGCTGAGAGCCCCTGGAGCAAACAGCACAAACAGAGGGAACGGGGGGGGGGGGGGGTGCGGTGCACAGGCTTGACCTGCTAGGGGCACTGGTAGAAGGTTCAGGGCCCAAGGAGCGAGGGTCACCAGAGGATGCTGGGGGTGGGTCGTGCGGGGCCCCTGCCCCAGGGAGGAACTGAAATCTCCCCTAAGTGGAGGAGGCACAAGTCACTGGAAGACGTGGCCCGGCACCAGCAGGTGCTCCGGTGCTGTGGAAGGGAGAGTGGTTCTCGTGTTACAGGAGGAGCTGCCTGGGCTGGAGTTCGGCCTTCGGCTGAAATCCTCTGATGTCACCACTACGCAGAGAACAGACTTGTTTCTGGCTTCGGCAGAGCCTCAGGCAAGTGACTGAACTTCTCTGGCCCATTTCCATATTTTAACAACAGGGATAATAAGACTTCTTTTGGAGGGCTGTTATGAGCATTCACTCATTCAGCAAATATTAACTGCAAGCCTACCGTGTGCTCGGCTCTCTGCTAGTTGCTGGGGATATATCAGCAAATGAAACAAAAATCCTTGCCCTTGTAGACAGTTTTTTTTTTTTTTCTTTTTGGCCATACCACGCGGCACGCGGGATCTTAGTTCCCCGACCAGGGATCGAACCAGTGCCCCCTATAGTGGAAGTGCAGGGTCTTAACCGCTGGCCCTCCAGGGGAGTCCCCCCTTGTAGACATTTAGTCACGAAAAGAGATAACTTGTGTAAACCAGTTCCGGCTCGTCAGGCACGTAGCTGCCACTTTTTTGCTTCTGTGTGTTCATGTCTTTATCGTCATTAGAGGAACGTCTGTTTCCTACTCCTCGCCTCAGAGCAGACGCCCAGACTTTTGGCTCTCGCGGCCACTGTCCTCTGCCCACTCTCTCTCGGGTTCAGGGTGCTACCATTCACCTTCGCAAAAGGGACCACAAGGACAGGCGTTAACCCTGATACCCCAAGTTTTCCAAATGTCCCCTGATCCTCCTGGAAGGATCACATCCTATGTCCCCCCGCTTCTTTGCTGTAGGGCGTCGGGTAAATTTCTAAACCCCGCAAAATGAAGATGACCACAGCCAACTCATGCAGCACCTTAGTGCAAATTAGGAAAAGGTACACCCTGCAGGTGAGCACAGCCCAGCACCAGGGTGCACTGCTTGAGGAGTGCCTTTGTTCAAATCAGAATAAGTTGCTGCTTCCCCTGGCTGGAAGCAGCCCCATGCTAGGCCCACGGCTTGGTGAGCAAAGCACAGGGTAGAATTTAGTCGGTGTTTGCCCCTCTGCCTGACAACCTCCTGCAGTGAGCGGTCTGCTCATCTGTACAGCAGCCGCATGGCTAAATCAAAGGAACGTGGAAGGATGAAATGAGACAACACTTGTAACGCACTTGGCATGGTGACTGTCACGTATATTTCTGGTGTTGCTGGTGTTTTCCCTTCCCCCGGCATCTTTTCCTACCAGCGTCCTGTTCACAGTTCTAATGCTGCCCCCTTGTGGGTGTCACATGGTATAACAATGTCATTACCTTGCCTCCGGCCTCTTATTCAGAAATTCAAAATGGTCTTTCCTAGGAGATGATTTTGGAGTAACATCTCCCAAAGTATACCATCAGAGTGGCGGCGGTTCCTCTGGCTTAGGAGCAGACCTCCCTCCCCCCTTCCCCACAGGGCACACTGGCAGTCAGGCCAGTCAGGACGCAGAAGAGAAACGGACAGAGGTGGGAAATCGCGCAGATGTGTGCCGAGGCAGCTTACCTTCCTCCTGTGACCCAGCTCCAGGCCTCCATTCTTTCTCCACCTGGGATGCCATCTTCTGCCAGGCTCAGTTCTTCCCATAAGTGGCTCCGGGGATGCCCCCCAGGCAAAACCGCCCTGCAGTTCCTTTGGAGCAGCCCTCGCCAGGCGCCTGGAGAAGCAGTCTGGCTCTCCTGCTCCCTGCCCCTCCCCCCTGCAGTGATGACTACTTCTGGGACGGCCCCCCTTTTGTTTTTGCCCCACGTGTTGTCCCCCGGCCAGTGCCCCCTCCCAAGTAGCCGGTCACCAGTGGGTTGAGCACCACGCTCCACGCACCTGTAATGAGCCCCAGCTTCCGCCAGCAGCCTCCGATGCTGGGGTGCAGGAAGCCAGCCACGTTGGAGGCATTGTAGGGTCCCAAGCAGAGCAGCAGTGTGAGCAGAGCCCCACCGGCCACCCAGGCCGCCTTTAGCTTCCGTCTGTGGCTCAGGCCTGAGCGGGCCAGTGCCCGGAGGCAGCCCACGTAGCAGAAGGCCGTGATGACCAGGGGCAGAAAGAAGAGCAGCAGAGAGAGGCTGAGGCGTGCAGGGCCCGCCGAGGCCGGGTCCCAGGCCTCCAGGCAGACTGGAGAGCCGTTCACTGGCGTGCTGATACCCAGGGAGCTGGTGGTATTGTCCAGCCAGCCTCCTGGAGCCTCCAACCCAAAGACCAGCCCCAGGTGACAGAGGACAAGGGCCCATATGGCCACACACACGCCCCAGGAATAGCGCGGCCTCCGGCCAGCTTGGTAGCCCAAGGGGAAGGCTGCTCCCAGGTAGCGGCCGGCGCTCAGGGCGGCCAGGAAGCCCGCGCCCGCGTAGAGCGGAGCGAAGTGGACCAGGGCGAAGGCAGGACAGAGTGAGGCCGGCAGGGGCCAGGCTCCCCCAGCCAGGGCCTCCGCCGCCTTCAGGGGCAGAGACGTCGCCAGCAGGAGGTCGGAGCAGCCCAGGTGGAGGGCATAGACCAGGCTGGGGGTGAGGCGCAGCCGGGCGTGGGACACGGCGCCTGCGATGGCCAGGGCGTTGAGCGGGAAGCCCAGCGCGAAGGCGGCCATATAGAGGGCGAAGGAGAGCTGCGGGGGCAGGTGCATGGGGCCCCTCGTGCGCACCACTGGCTCCCTGCCCCCAGATCTCAGGGCCCGGAAAGGGGGCTCCCAGAGTCACAGACTGGTTTCAGCACCTGCTCAGGGTGTGCGAGAAGCCATCTAGTGGGATAGCTGGGGAGACAGACGCTGGTAGGGGGAGGTGGCCTGGATTAGAAGCGAGGACCACTAGCCGTCAGTCCTCTGTTTTCTCTCCACCATGTGCCCCCTTAAAATGAAGCGAGCGATCGTGGTGTAACGGGAGGAGATGGAGCACAGGCGTGCAGGTCCCAGAAGAGGGAAGGCCTCTTGATTTCTGAGACTCTGGGGAGACAAGCGGTGGAGAGAATTCAGGGCAGAGTTGAGGGACTTCCCCGGCAGCCCAGTGGTTAAGACTTCGCCTTCCAATGCAGGGGCTGCGGGTTCGATCCCCGGTTGGGGCAGCTAAGATCCCACATGCCTCGTGGCCAAAAAACCAAAACATAAAACTGAAGCAATATTGTAACAAATTCAATAAAGACTTTAAAAATGGTCCACATCAAAAAAATCTTTAAAGAAAAGAAGAAGAAAAAAATGAACAGAGTTGAGCCCGACAGTATGTATTTTTCTCAGGAAAGGAAGCTAGATTCCTGTGTTTGCACCCCTTCCCCAGTTCCCTGGAAAGAGAAGGAGCTGTTCCCCTACAGCAGGCAGTGCCGGGCTGGTGGCAATGCCTAGCCGAGGGGAAGTCGGGGTGTAGGTTGTAGCAAAGGGCAGGAGAAGGAGGTCCCCCGGGGAGAGTCCAGGGGTAAGCCAGGTCCCACTGGTGTCACAGGGAATGACTTTAGCCAGCTTCAGGGGTTCCCCCTAAGCGGAGGCTTCTGGGGATCTGGGGAAAAATTGTTGTGGGGAGAGAAGCCACAGAAAGAGGGACTCACCTCTTGGTGCTGCCAGGTGTCTCTGAGGCTCAGGAGTCCCCTGAGGGAGGGTGGCCAGGATGCGCAGTGAGCCGGAAGGGAGAGAAGGGCGGGGAGGCAGGGCCATTAGCCTGAGGCACTCACAGCCTGGATGAGCAGCTAATGGGGCATCTCAGAAGGAGGTGAGGGTCCAAGGTGATGCAAACACAGGAAGGGGAGAGGTTAGAAATGTGGGCTTTTCCTGGGGGGAGTGAAGAGTGCGTAGCCAGCACCTTTTTTTTTTTTTTAATTTTTATTGAATATAGTTGCTTTACAATGTTGCGTTAGTTTCTGCTGTACGGCAAAGTGAATCAGCTATACATATACATATATCCCCTCCTTTTTGGATTTCCTTCCCATTTAGGTCACCACAGAGCATTGAGTAGCGTTCCCTGTGCTATACAGTAGGTTCTCATTAGTTACCTATTTTATACATAGCAGTGTATATACGTCAATCCCAATCTCCCAGTTCATCCCGCCACCCCTTTCTCCCCTTGGTGTCCATACATGTGTTCTCTACGTCTGTGTCTCTATTTCTGCTTTGCAAATAGGTTCATCTGTACCATTTTTCTAGATTCCACATATATGTGTTAATATTCGATATTTGTTTTTTTCTGTCTGCCTTACTTCACTCTGTATGACAGTCTCTAGGTCCATCCACGTCTCTGCAAATGGAACAATTTCGTTCCTTCTTATGGCTGAGTAATATTCCATGGTGTATATGTACCCACATCTTCTTTATTCATTCCTCTGTTGATGGACATTTAGGTTGCTTCCATGTCCTGGCTATTGTAAATAGAGCTGCAATGAACATTGGGGTGCGTGTATCTTTTGGAATTATCAGCACCTCTAAAGAGCAGGGTTGGTGGTACAACCAGAACACACCTTTATTCCATCCCCACCCCCGCCAGCCCGTTCAAACCGGCTCTGGGGGCTTAGTCTGCTCTACTCCTGGACGAGCTTGTGGGCAGGCCCAGGCTCACTCCCAGATAATAAGTCCCCCTGGTCACCCATACCATCTCCACTTGGCATTTACTTTGTGGGATAATGAGATCATCATTCCCAGTTAGAGCTTCTACTATCCCCCCACCTGCACAGGCCTTGGGCTCCTCCATCCTCCCTCTCCTTTCCCCTCTGACCTGATGACAGTGGTTTATGACCCTCCTTGTGTTGGCAGGAGGGAGAGAAGGAGAGACCTGGAACAAGCAAAGTCGAGTTCAGTGGCACTGAAGTACCCGGGCTGTGGTCTCCACCCTGCCTCTCTCTGGGCTGCACGGATGTCAAAAGGGGCTCCTCCCTGGGGCACCTGTAGGGACGTTGGGTGGCGCGTGCCTCCAGCTGGTCGCTTAACATTCCTCTCAGGCCCTGAGAACTTGGTCGTTCACCTCCCTGTTGGGGTCATCCTGCCCTTCTAAGGAGACCTCCTGAGATTTAAGGCGGCCCTAAGCTGTCTCTGTGATTCTCTTTCTGTCTCTGACTGTGCACGTGTCTCTCTATCTGTCTGTCTCTCTCCTGCCTCAGGCTGACAGTATGGTCTCTCTGGACTTCAGCTTTCTTGGGTGTGTGTGTCAGTAACCAGGCCCCTATGTCCTCCCCAAAATCCAAGTCACCCAGAATAAGCTTCTCTGAGTGGTTCCCTGGAAGTGCTTCCCACCAGGCTTCCAGAGCAGGCAGCCTGAGATTCTCAGCATATCCACGGCTCCCTCCAAAGAAATGATCTCATTTCCTTTTCATACCTCAGGAACCAAACTGATTCTTGGTCACCCCCCTTCTAAGTCCTACATGTGTCATCCAGCACCTCCCTGGGAATGTAGAAGAACTTGCAACCTGTTGTTTAGTATTTTGTCTTTGGGAAACACTGAGAAACTGACAGAACTGAGGAAAAGTCAACAGGAGTGCCATTTCACCTCTTGTGACAAGCATTTGGTAGATGAGCAAAGGTGGGTGCAAAGGGAGACAGCAGGGGGCATCCCTGGTGGTGCAGTGGTTAAGACTCCGCCTGCCAGTGCAGGGGACACGGGTTCGAGCCCTGGTCTTGGAAGATCCCACATGCCGCAGAGCAACTAAGCCCGTGTGCCACAACTACTGAAGCCTGCGCGCCTAAAGCCCGTGCTCCACAACTAGAGAAGCCACCGCAATGAGAAGCCTGTGCACCGCAATGAAGAGTGGCCCCAACTAGAGAAAGCCTGCGCGCAGCAACAAAGACCCAACGCAGCCAAAAATAAATAAATAAATTTATAAAGGGAGACAGCGCGTCTTCAAGCTCTTCTCTGTTTGGCCCTCCCACCTGGCAATGCAGGTGTCACCCTCCTCAGAGGGCCTCCCTTGATCCCTGCATCCAAACGGGCCCCTCCCCTGCTCCAGCCCCTCTGCTTTCATCTTGCGTTGTGGTTTCTTCCAAGCACCCAGGACTCTGCAACGTCAGATTTGCTGGCTCCTCCACTAGAATGTTGGTCAGTGAAGGCAACACTTTCTGTGTGCCTTGTCCGCTGCTTGTTGCATACCTAGCAGGGACTCAGTGAGTCAGACGAATGGTCAATTGTCTAGGCTCCAAGAGGACGGTGAGGTCCGGGGCTGGGTCGGGGGCTGCCTGTGTTCTAGCCCCAGCGCTGCCCAGTCACCTGCTGTGCACACCTCAGCAGGGCCTGATGACAGCCACATCTCTCGGGCAATTGGTCATGAAGTAGGTTGATGTCAGCAGTCAGGCTCAGGTCCAGGATGGGAAGTCATCCGCTGGTTGCCAGGGAGCCCGCGCCAGGCCTCATCAGGCTGGTGGCTGCCTTTAGGTCTTTCAGTTCCTAAAACCCTCTGGACACCTAGACTAGAGACCCCCAAGATTAGGACCATGTTGTATCTTTTTTGTACCCCCACAACTGGCTCTGTGGTGGATGCAGTGGGAGGTGTTCAGTAGGTGTTTGCTGGATAAATGGTTGAATGATACTGGTCCCCAGACCCTTGCCCTCTCATTTCAACAGTTCTCGAAGCCTTCCCTTTCTCCACAAAAGTGGAAGGTGCTCACAACAATTCAAACCAGGGAGTTCCCTGGCGGTCCAGTGGTTAGGACTTGGCACTTTCACTGTCGGAGCCCGGGTGGGGGCCCTGGTCAGGGCACTAAGATCCTGCAAGTCACGTGGCGCGGCCAGAAAAAAAAAAAAAAAAAGACGTCAAACCAGGGACAAAGTAGGTTGATGGGGAAATCAGTGCCCCACTCCTTGGGCATCCCAAGGACAACCTCTCAGAGAGCATCTGGATCGAGCAGACGGGAAAGTAGGGCAGCCAAGGAAGGCGGTGCCTTCAGAGCGCCCACCACAGGCCAGGAATTTGACTGTCATTTTTTTTTTTTTTTTTTTTTTTTTGCGGTACCCGGGCCTCTCACTGCTGCGGCCTCTCCCGTTGCAGAGCACAGGCTCCGGACGCGCAGGCTCAGTGGTCATGGCTCACGGGCCCAGCCGCTCCGCAGCACGTGGGATCTTCCCGGACCGGGGCACGAATCCGTGTCCCCTGCACCGGCAGGTGGACTCTCAACCACTGCGCCACCAGGGAAGCCCTGACTGTCATCTTGATGAATGATTAACCACAGGTTCCTGCCCTGAAGGAGAATGGGCCTTGGCCCCTTGGGAGAAGCAGGAGACCAGGTGGAGAGAGAACAGACGGAGAAGCCGGAAGGGCCTCCCTGGCAAGTCGGCCAGGGAACATACTAAAGAGCTAGTGGGGGTCACGGGGAGAGGTAGAAAAGCTGAGAGGTTCCCCAAGGTAGCTGGCCTTCGAGAAGGCAGGCAGCTGTGTGTTGTGAAACGACGCAGCAGGGTCACTTTTGAGAATTGCTGTAATGCGTCGGCTTCCCCTTTTTATGGTCTTCAAGAGATGCAAATCAGATGGGAATGTGGTTTTTAGGGACTTTTGGCTATTGCGTTAATCTTCTTATAACATGACATAAGGTTATATACCTCACTTCCTATCTCGAACCGCCTGCGTCTCCATGTTACAGACGAAGAGACTGAGGCTCAGAGAAGCTGGTGAACTTTGCCCCAGATCATTCGGCAGGTTAAGCAGAAGAATCGAGACTCAGACTCTGTCTGTGACGCCAGCGGACTCTTGGCAACAAGACGGTGGACCCTCCGATCTGGTGATTTGCTCATGAAGTCACCTTTCCCCTCTCCCCAAGCCCCAGGTTGCCTGCCCCATCTCCCTGTCCCTACTCAGACTCTGCAGACTGGAAATCATTCACTGGCTCTTTGACGTGGCATCTGAGCCATGTTTATTGTGTAGCTCTGTGTCTGTTACACGTTTGTCCACATCAGTGTATGTCTCAGACCATGAGACCCTTGAGGAAAGGAGGCGCAGCAGCATAATCCTCCCCGTGGAAGGCCTCTTAGAGAGGAAACCAGCCCAGGGCAGGGCCTCTACCTCATTTTTGTTCCTCTTTCCCTGGGCTTTGCCCTCGAGTCAAAAAGTACGCATAAGATTAGTGAGTGGAGTTATCAGAGCAGGGGTGAGGTGTCAAAGGGATGGGGAGAGAGAACAATAAAAACAATGACCAGCTGATCCCCACAGGGACACAGCCAGCTGGGGAGTGGGGTTTGGGAGTGGATAGGTGGTGGCAGACGGCTGGGAAGGGGCAGGGGGATTTGTACAGCTCAGGATAGGTATTTAGATGAATTTCTGGGTGAGAAGGGGAGTGGGAAAGGACCAGGGACAGACCCTTTGGAGGGTCGGGGTTACCAGTGCTAAGAAGGAAGACTGTCTCTGGACCATGTACAAAGTTCTCTGCACCAACTGGGGTTGCAGTAACTGTGACCGTGTGTGCGTGCTCGTGTGTGTGTGTGCGTGTGTGCGTGCATGCATGTGTGTGCGTGTGTGCATGCTCGTGTGTGCATGCGTGCGTGCGTGTGCATGTGTGTGTGTGTGTGTGTGTGTGTGTGATTTCGCAGCTGAACAGCAGAGGCTGAGAAAGTTCCAGGACCACCCTGGCCCCTGCGGCCCCTGGCACCTCCACCTCAGCTGGTTTGGCCCATCATTGCTTGAGGGTCACGTATTCCACTCCTTCCTGGGCCAGCGGCCGCTCCCCAAACCCAAAATGGACCACCTCCGAGTAATGTATCCCCTCGTCTTCTAGGACCTCTGGAGTCACGTTCTCATAGTCGCCCTGCGAAAGCCACATGGTGGTGAGCGTGGCCTCACGCTCACCAGCCTCCCACAGCCCGCTTTCCCTGTCCCTTCTCTCCTCAGCTCCGCCTGGGGGTCCAAGAGCGCGAGCAGGAGTCCTCTTGTCTGGAAACTGGCTGCAGCCGGCCTCAGACTGCGAGGTGCCTGCCCTGGGTCTGACCTCACCAGGGTCTGGGCAGCCCTCCCCACTGCCCAGCCTCTGCCAGCACCGAGCCCACCCAGGCTCTGGGACTCACAGCCGAGGCCAGGTCCCGTCACTTCCCCACCTTCCATAGCCCTGCCCTCTTACCACGTGACGCTTCTGCACCACAGAGTAAGTGACCGTGTCGTCCCTGTTTGGGGAAAGTCCCCGCATCTCTGAGGGCCCTGCATCTCTGAGAGGGAAGGCAGAGAGATGACCACAAATGAAGGCTTTTGCACGAAATCTGCTCCTTCTTCCAACTGCCCTAGACCCTAAGAGCACCCCCAGCCTCTCAGCCCCTTGTATCATGCCTAGTGCACACAGCAGGGGCTGATGTGTCAAATGAGTGAATGTATGTATGTATGTATCTCAAAGTCCCAACCTTGGTGATAGAGACCGACTCTGGCTGTGCATGCTCCTGGTTTGTAGGAACAGATCCAATTCCCGAGACCGTTACCAGGGGGCTTGTTACAGAGCAGGAATGAGGAGAAGAAGCACGGGCCTGGCACAAACAGGGCAGGCGAGACACGAGCTCTGCCCCCCACATCCATCCCAGGGTGCAGGTGTCACCCCCCTGGTGCCCTCAGTACCCAGGTCTCGGTGCATCAGTCTCGCCAAGAGGAAAGCGCAAGGCAGCGTAGCTGACGGCATCTTCCATCACTGGATTGTAGCGCCCCAGGGAGTGGGGGCCTTCAGCTTGGGGGATCCTTCGAGCCTGAGAGGAGGACAAGGTTTCGGCCCTTACCACTCCTCTCCCCACCCTAGCTCCCCTGCCTCTCTACTCTTTATCACTCCTCTCCACTTTGTTTCTTTTTTTTTTTTAAATTTGACACATAGTTGATTTTCCACTTTGTTTCTTTCTTGACTCGAAGCTCTGCCCTGCATTTCATGTTTCTCCCATCCTACCTTTACATTCCTCACAAAGAAGCTCTGTCCACTGGAACTTTCCTGAAGCCCCTGCTGTCTCTGAATCCTCTTCCAGCTGAGAAATAAAGACCTGCTCAGGGAGGATGAAGGGCCTGGGAAGAGGACCCTGTGGACTCGGCATGCCGGGGGCTGCAGGACTGAGTAACCGGGGTCGTTCCCTGGGCTGGGCGGAGGGGGAGCAAAGGTGGTGGGCAGTGGGAGGAACTCACCTCCGCTGAAGCTTGACTCCCCAGATTGCCAGGAGGAAGATGGCCAGGCAGAACCCCAGTCCCAAGGCCACTCGCCTGATGATGGTGGCTGAGCTATCTGATAGAGAAAGGCGGTACGTCAGTTGATGACATTGCCTCAGTCGGCTAGCAGGCCAGCTCTGCCCTGTGATCTTTGCCTGGGAGGCATCCTTGGCTTCCCTCTGCACAGCCACGGTCCTTCTGGCCTGTGCGACATCTCCTCCTTGCCCAGGGGGTGTGGTGCAGAGAAAGAGGGAGAAGCCAGCCCTGCCCTCTGGACGTCTCATTAGGAGGGAAGGGCAGCTCTTTTTCAAGAGGAGCTCCTGCTGTGTGACAGACTCGGGCACACACAGAGCACGTAACCCTCATAAATGGTGCCGCCTCTTCAGAGGGCAGCTTGGCCGTGCTTAAAATCACTTGTCCTTTGAGCCAGCCAGTTCACGTAGGAACCTAGCCTACAATTCTCTTCGCAGGTGTGCCCAGAGCAGGAGACTGCACCCAGCCTTGAGGAGGGCCGTGGGTACACAGTTATTCGACATCCGTACATGGGACCGCAGTGCCCCCTCAGCAAAAGAGTCAGGTCCCCAGGGTGCCTGCAGAGGGGAGACCCAGGGGACTCCCTGGGGACATATACAATGTGTATATTGTATATACAGTATACAATATACATATACAACGTGTATATTGTATATACAATATACACATTGTATATGTTTTTATACAATGTGTAACTTTTCCAAATGACACCCTCAGGCTGGCTCCCTTTAGCACCAGCTTTGCCAGTGACAATCCTCTAAATTTAAAGCCATGGCTCCAATCATTAACCTGAAAAAAGCACAATAAATAAATTAAATATTTTCCCCTGTGTTTTTCCAGACTCTTCAGACACCCTGTATATGCACAGATAGAGAACAATCTCCAAGTGCTGTTATTACATGGAAGAAAGGGAAGTTCAGGGCAACGTGTGAGCTCTCCCACCGTCTGAGTAACAAAGAAGGGTGTATGGACATAAATCTCTATAGGCCTATGGTGCACGTATAGAAAAATCTCCGTGAGGGGCCATATCCAGCTGCCAACAGTGAAAGCCTCCAGGGAGGGAGGGGGTAGAGTTCTTGGGGAGCAAGAAAGGAGACGTATCTGTCCTTCCACTATTTACCCTTTCATGCTGTTTTTACCATGTACTTGTATTGTCTTTTAAAAAAAACCCAAAACCACTACAATCTCAAAAGGTAGAAACAAGCAGCCTATCAAGGGTGAGACAGAGAGAGAGAGGCAGAGAGAGGGAGCCAGGAGGAGCTCAGGATGTCTGGAAGGTAGGGGCAGCCTGAATCCCCCTGGGGTGGCGAGAGACTGATCGGGGAGGAGGGAAGACAGGGGAGCTGTGTGTGGAGAAGGGGCGCCTCTGAGCGCACAGGCTGCCCACTCCCCACCCTCCGTGCAGGAGCGGGGAGGAGGTGCGGGACGCAGGAGTGGCCAGGGCCGGAGAAGGGCCCTTACAGTAGACAGTGAGGGTGGTGGGCGGCGACTGGCCCCGGCCCAGCCTGTTGGTCCCCTGGCACCAATAGGCGCCTGAGTGCTGCAGCGTCACAGGGTCCAATCTCAGCGTCTGATCATAATGGCGGAGGTCTTGGTTATTCCAGTCAAACCATGCGTAGTGGGAGGTGGGAGGGTTGGCATCGCTCTCGCACGTCAGGACTGCTTTCTTCCCCTCCACCACGCTGTCTTTCGGGCTGATGGACACATGAAGGCTCCTGGGTGCATCTGTAAGTAGAAGCAAAGTCAGGATCCGGGGAGCCAGTCACCTGCCCGTCTCTGCTCCCAGCCTCCGGCTCCAGCCACTCACACAGCACTTGGAGAGCCCAGGCCTTAGACGAGGTCTGTCCTATGGAATTGTTGACCAAGCAGTGGTAAATTCCAGCATCTTCTGGAGAGATGGCGTCAAAGCTCAGTTTCTTTCCTTCCTCCAGAAAGATTCCATTTTTCTTCCAGAAGAAGCGGACATCCGTGGGGCGGCTACTTAAGAAGTCACATTGGAGGAGGACCGGGTGCCCAGAGCGAATCTCATTGTGGGGAGTGACCTGGACACTGACATCTTTGGGGGCATCTGGAGAGCAAGGACCTCAGGCTGATCTCTTGGGTCTCTTCCCCTCTTCCTGTTCCCGAGAATTCCTCTCCCCTTGGCCCTGAGGCCTGACTCTCATCCCTCAATTCTCTGTGAGGACTGTGGTTCAGGCTTCGGTCTCCTCACCCTTAGAGCCCCGCACCCCAGCTGGGCCACCCGCCAGCTCCCCCGGCCCAGGGCACTCACACTGGACATCCAGGTTGACAGGGGGAGACCACAAACACCACCGGTTACAGGCTGCGCATTTGACTGGCCCTGTGTCCCAGGCAACTTTTCGAATCGTCAGCACAGCGGGTGATAGCTGGTCCTGGAAGCCTAGGTGATCCCATTTATATCCGGTAACTCTGGGATTACTGGAATTGTAGGTACAGGACAGGATCACACTGTCTCCTTCTCGAATCGGTGTGGGGTTTTGAATCACTGTGATTACCTCCTTGGGGGGATCTGGAAGAAAACCAGAGAGGTGGGTCAAGAAAAGTCAGATGCCCATAAGACCTGTTCCTTCCTGCTTCCTCTTCCCCCTTCCTGTGCCCTGCATTCACGCAGTTCCTCTATTAGCTGAGGGAGGGCTTGTGCTTCCCTCTTGCCTCTGAGAACAGAAACCCTGCCCTGGCCATTTGGCCTGGTTGTCGTTTGAGACAGGATGGTGCAGTGGTTAAGAGCACAGCTCTGGGCGGAGTACGTGTGGTGCCGTGCAAGGCAGGGGCCACTCTTTGTGGGTCTCTGCACGGGTCTGAGGCACGGAGCCGGGTCACTACAGTAAGGGCGTTAACTTAAAAAAGAAAAAGAAAAGCATAGCTCTGGATCCAGAGTGCCGGATCCTGCCCCTTGGAGGTGTGTGACCATGGGCTGCAGGCCTCAGTTGACTCATCTGTCAAATGGGGTCCTGTGAGTAGCTAACCTCGTGGAATCACTGGAGGATGGAGTGAGAGGATGCTGTTAGAGCCCTGTGGCGTGTGGTAAACACGCAACACATGCTGCTTCTGCTGCTGCTGTTACCACATATCCGGTGTCCAGATTTCAGGATTTGGGCATCCACATCAGAGTATCTGGCCCCGACTATGACATCCCAGTGTCCAAGGATCCAACCTAGGGATTCTCTTTGTCCTGGGCTCCCCTCAGTGCCAAGACTCACTGTGTTAAACAGGGTCTGACAACCAAGAGGTAATGAAGCATTTTGCCCCAGTTCTCCTCGAAAATTTCAAGACCCCTTCAGGGACTCAGCCACTGCCGAGTGACGCCAAGTCTCCGCGTCCCTCGTGGGACCCTGGCATCTTGCCATTCATTCAAGTCAACAAGCATCTACTGGGCACCTCCCACGAGCCAGGCCCTGTCTGGTGCTAAGGACACAACTGTGAACACAACACTTGCCCCAAGAAGCTTATCTGCCGGGAGCCCCTGGTTTCTGCTTGCTGTCCCTTCGCGGGCACGTCTACCCTCCTCCTGCCCCCAGAGCCACCTCCTCCCTCCAGTAGCTCTGCGGCTACTCACACTGGACTTCCAAGTCAGCTTCCTGGCCAACTTGTCCAGGACCAAGATCATTTTCCGCCAAGCAGGAGTACTCCCCAGCATGACTGAGGAGGACCTCTGGGATCTGGAAGGTCCTGTCCGTCTTTCCAGGCATTTCTAGCCCATTGTAGTACCAGGTGTAATTCGTTGGAGGAGGATTGGCCAGTGATATACAAGTCAGCTCTACTTTATTTCCTTCCTTCGTTGGCGAGGAGAAGATCTGAACCCTGGAAGGTTCTGGAGCATCTGGAAGAAGAGGCCGAGGCCGGGGGGCTGGGGGTGGTGGTGAGCAGAGGCCTCTGGGGCTCCCCTCCCATGGGCCTGGAAGGCGCCCCTGCTGACCCCCGGCCTGGCCCTTCCCCAGCTCCCAGGAGGCTCACAGTGCACTTGGAGGTCCACTGCTTCCGACTTTTCGGAGCCCACATCGTTGTGGGCCTTGCACTGGTACTGCCCGCTCATCTTCCTGGTCACCTCGGGCAGAGTGAGCATGGGCGTCTCCTCCCCCACAAGCAGGGCCCCGTCCCTGAGCCAGGACACATTCTGGTGCCGTGGGTTGCTGCTGACAATCTGGCACGTCATGGTCACAGACTCTCCCTCTGTCACAGTGGCTTCTCTGGGACTGACCTGGATCTTCAACTTCGGCGCGTCTGGAGAAGCGGAGGGAACAGTGAGGGAGGGGATGGGGATTCTCAGAGGGTGTGAAGTGCTGACAAGTTGCAGGCCTTTTATTCTGATAAATCAGCGGCCTAGACAGAGCGGGCAAGGGTGTGTAGCCACTCACTGTCACCCTTGTTAACAAGGGTGGGCTGGTCCAAGCGCCAGGTGACTGACCGTCACAGCCTCCCAACTCGGTTCTCTGCTCCCCACACCCCAGACCCCGAAGGTCTGGTCTCCACCAGCAGCCAGCAGCATTCCCAGGACTGTCCATCAGACCTTACGACTCTCCTGCTTGAAACCGTTCAGTGGATTCCACGCTTAGAGAAAAATCCCAAAACCCTCGCTGCAGCCCACGAGATCTAGTGTCCCGGTCCCTCTCGGCCTTCCTTTCCTACCACTGGGCCCCTTGGACGCAGTGCCAAGCTTGCTGGCTCCTTGCTCTGAGGCAGACACACCAAGTTCCTACCTTAAGGCCTTGGACTTGCTCTTTCCTCTCCCTGGAACGCTCTTCTCACAGAGATATGCCTGCCTCAGGCCCTCCCTTCACCCAAGTCTCAGCTCAAGTTCAGCCTCCATCCCTCACTCCCTCTGTCCTAGCCCTGCTTTATTTTTTTGCGATACACTTAGCACCACCTACACATATGTTCTCTATTTCCCTTTTCACCTATCTACTCTTCGTCTCCCTGACTTCAAGGCTAGTTCCACGTGGGCAAGAACTTTGCTCACTGCTCTATCCCCAGCAGCCATAGTAAAGCCTAGTAGGTTCACAACAAATATTTATTGAATGAATGAATGAATGAGGCACAAAAAAATGATGTGAAAAAATTCTTCATCCCACCCCTCAGGGGAACAAAAAAACCTTAACCAGGTGATCCCCAAATCAGGTCATGGTTTGAGGATAGATTATTTTATTCTGAATCAGGTGTCCCCTGAAACACCAGAGCTGACGATGGGAATGGTGGAGGAGGGGCCGCGGCTCTGCCTGGACCATTCCCAACAGCGGGTGCCCACAGACCCATCACGCTTCCGTCTGTGTGGGCTCCTGTTACCCTCTGCGGGGGTGAAGGGATGACAGTACCCTCGGCCCTCCCACAGACGCAATGGGGAGACTCACGCTTCACATCCAGCCACACCGTTTCCTCAGAGAGTAACTGCTGTTCCGTGGGGTCCCAGAGCTGGCAGGTCAGGTTCTTGCCGTGGTGAGTCCACTGCGGCTGGAACGTGAGAGTGCTCTGGGTGGAGACAGTCTCGGTGGACAGGGAGGTGGAGGTGACCGCAGGCTCCTCCAGGGACCACTGCAGATGAACCTGGTACTCAAAGCAGGCGAAATTCAGCGAGCAGGTGACAGTGACGTCGCGGAGCTCCCGGATGTCTGGAGGGAGCTCAATGTGGGGTGGAGGAGCCGTCTCTGCAAAAGAGCAGGGGCCACGCTGGAGGCCTGGGAGCCTGGACCAGCTTTAGATGCCCTGCCGCAAAGAACCCATCAGGAATCCCCGGCCGGTCCTGTCCACCCCCCTCCGGGCCTGCCTTTCTCTGCTCGGCCCAAACACCCTCTGAAAGGTCTTGTGAAAGCTGATCCTCCTTAGAAACTGTGTTTTATGTTTTATAGTTACTTCGTTCACACCCCCTGGTGTTTGCTTTCTAAATATTTTCCAGACCACTCCCCCGGCACTCCTCAGCTGATTTTACGCGTTTAGTTCAACACGCTTAGCTTGGAGGACAAACCTGGCTCAAAGGCCTCAGTATCGGAGACCTCCCACACAGCACTCCTGGAGGGGATTCCTTTAGCGGAGAGGCCTGTGTGCAGCCAGTCCCTGCTCTCCCCGAGGCTGGGCCGCCCTCAGATTGCAACGTCTGAAGCTGCATCTCTCACCCCAAACACAGGGCTGCTTAGAACCACCCACCGAATAAACAGGCCGTGGAATGGAGCGAGCACACTCCCTCGGGTGGAGGCCCCAGACCTGTGTTTGGTTCACACCCTATCTGTGTGTCATGTAGCCACGAAGGCCTAATTAGAATGAATCCCCCCACATTAATACTTTGGGAGATTTCACTTGAAAATTCAGATTTCCGTCTCTGGAAAAGCCAGGGGAGATGCTCAAGGAGGGATGAGTGCCCATATGCTCCAGTCTGCCACGGGCGCCACTGTCCTGTGGCACCCCGGTCGCTCACTGGCATCCCCGTCTGGCCTCTGCAGGCGACCTGGTTTGTGAGCTGTCCCAGGAGTCAGGAGCTTCCCACCTTCCTCATTGCCGAGACAAAGGAGCCCATCCTCTGGGCCTTACCAGAGATGTTGAGGCCTATGGGCTCCATCCATTTGCTCTCCCTAGACGTCATCCTCAGCCCCAGCTGACCGCTGTCATTGGCTTTCACAGGATTGATGAGGAGCGTGCAGTTGTATCTGCTGTTTCCCAGGAATTGTACCCTCCCCGGACGAGGAGGAACATCCCTGATTTTTAGGTTCTTATAGAGGATGGTCCCTTGGTAGCTCTTGGTGGAGCTGTTGTACTTATAATTGTGGTACACGGTCAGGTTATCTAGCAAGTGCGTGTTTAGGATACGGTAGCGGCAGGGAATCCAGACGCAGGCTCCGTCCCAGGCGTAGAGGATCTTGGGATGTTCAAACGTCCACTGGGCTGAGTCAGAGAAAGCCAAGTATTCTGGAACCCACCAGAGCGAACAGAAAGCATTACTGAAGGACAATGAGAGCATTCTAAAGAATTTCCTCTGAAGAGGCGGGGCGGGGGGTGGGGGGAGGCAGATACACAAAGAGAGAAGTATACACACGCACACACATATACACTGACTGTCCCCACCCTGCCCCACATTTACTCTTCTCTGCCCCCATCTTTCCTCCTCCTCCTCCAGCTCCCACAGTCATCCCAGACCTAAGTATCTGCCTAGGCCACCATCCTTACCGAGAAGCAGAAGCAAGGGACCGAGGAGACGCATGGTGCTGTGTCTAGGCGGGAGTCTGGGCCAGGAAGAGTTTGTCTTTAAGCCATCTGGTCACTTACATCTTCCAGACAGCTTTTCTTGCTCACCCACTGAGCTCCAATCCCTTCTCCCTGATTCTGAGAAGACCGTGTCTGGTTGCATGGCAGGATATGGAATTCTGGAAACTCACAGGGTCTTTTTCTGGATATGCTGTGCCTCTCCCATCAGCCTGAGAACCATGTAAGGCTAGCCTCTCTCTTCCCAGCACTCCTTCCTTTCTTCCATCCATCCATCCAAAATTGTATAAACTTGCTGCCCAGCTCTCAGGCTTTGAGTGGCACCAAACTATTGAGCACCTCAAATGCCAGGCCCTAGGTGACCTGGAGCTTACCTTGGGTCAACTAGTGAAGGGTTTCACATAGGGGAGAGACATGGCCAAAACTTGATTTTAAAGACCAGGAAAAAAATAACTCTGAAACCAATCATTAAGTATGATGCCAGGAGAGCATTTAGAAGGGTCTGAAAGGACTTAGGAGAATGTGGTCCAAGGGCCCCACTCAGATGCCCCCATGGGCTGGTTAGGAAACAAATCAACCAGGTGGGGACACGTCTTGAGTAAAGGCTATGACTATCTCAATTCCAGTCAAGTGGGAACACGGGCTCAGCACTGCCTGATCTTCTACTCTTTTAAAAGAAGCAAGAAGCCAGAGTTTCATGTGAAATGATCTTCTTTGAAAAAAACAAACACGGTGCTGGTCAAACAAAACCTGTCTGTGGGCTAGAGGTAGTCCAAGGGCTGCCGATGTGCAACCACTGCCCATCTCTATGCGTGGGTGCACGTGCGGTGAGCTGGGCCGCCACCTCACTGGACTTTTACATAGAGTTACATTTACATAGAGTTAAATTTAAGTCCCAATTTACATGGTCGTGCCCTGAATGTGTGTCCCTGGGGAGTCAGCAGGACGTGCCAACAGAGTGTGTCTCCTGTCTCAGCACAGACCTGCGTCTGTCCCGCCTGCCCAGCCAACAGTTCCCACACATCGGCGTCCCCTCCCCAAGCCCCTCCGGCTGGCTGTTCATCTCCTCTGGCTGCGCGGCTTATGCTAAAGGACCGTTGGGTGTCCAGGACCGGTGTGGGGAAAGCTAGGCCGCTGGCTGAAAGTAGGAAGGGGGTCTGTCCCCAGGCATGGCAGCCGTGCTGGTCTGGCCTGGGCATGGATTAGGGCAGACTCTCCACACAGAGCTCATATAGCCCTGCAGGTGCTAATAGTGTTACAGAGAAAAAAGTCCTCAAGGTCACATCTGTTTGAGAGAAGCTGGATTTTAAAAAGTGAAATAGGAGTCTTTAGTGCAGGCCTTTTCAAACCCTTTAACCAGCTCTATGTGCATCATGCATCTCCCAGCATGGGGGCTAGAGTAGAGCACACGACGCATACTTCTTTAGCCACGGGAACAATTTTACGTTTTCCATGAGAAACTTGGCAGGGCTGCAGGGTCAGTGTTCTGAGGGATGCACTTTGGGCTCCCTCTGGGTCTCCACAAGGGCTATGGCCAGGGCCAGATTCCATTCCCCGTGGCAAAGACTAGCCTCCAGTAGCTGGGCCAGGGTACCCCCTCTGCCAGCAGCCACCAGTCACACCCTCATTGGGGACCAGCTGGAGAATGCCAAGACCAGTGGAAGAGGGGTGCTTCTCAGAGCAGGGCTGCATGCCTACCCCACGGAGCTCCACGTAGTCTCTGGAGCACAAGAAGTGGGCCCCAGGCCTGCGCTTGGAAGGCGGCTGAGGCAGGATGGGGCATGGAACGCTGGGAACAGTCGGCATTGGGCACAAAGGCTCTGGACCCGTGGTCTGCTCAACACGAGCCTGTTTAGAGCCTTGCAGAACCTCAGAGCCGGCCTCCTTGAGTCCATTCTTCCCTCCTGGGCACCCAGTGATGCCTCCTGCTCTCAGAAGAATTGCCAGGCCTGGCAAGGGAGATGCTCAAAGACTGGGGATTACTACCTGTTGTCACACAGGCAAGAGAAAGGGAGGGGAGTCCCACTGTGCTCCCAGCCCCTAGAATTGTGCCTGGCACATGGCAGCGGCTCCCTACTTGCTTGTCGAATGCAAAAGAGAACAAAATAGTTTTTACCTGTTTCCTCATGTGTCTTCTGTCTTCAGGGACCCTGGCAGCATCTAAGAGTGAAAGGGGAAGCACAGCAAAGTCGCCAGTGACTGATTTTCACTCTTCTTGGCCACACCCCCCACCTCTCTTTGGCAGCAAAGCCACTGCTGGGTATTTATCTGAAGGAAATAAAACGCTAACTGGAAAAGATATCTGCACCCCAGTGTTCCCTGCAAACATGCAAGCAACCTAAGTGTTCATTGATGGATGACTGGATAAAGAAAATGTATACAAAAGAATATTACTTAATAACCAAGAGATCACTGAAGAAATCAAAGAGGAAATTAAAAAATACCTAGAAATAAATGACAATGAAAACACGACGACCCAAAACCTATGGGATGCAGAAAAAGCAGTTCTAAGAGGGAAGTTTATAGCAATACAATCCTACCTTAAGAAACAAGAAACATCTCAAATAAACAACCTAACCTTACACCTAAAGCAATTAGAGAAAGAAGAACACAAAACCCCAAAGTTAGCACAAGGAAAGAAATCATAAAGATCAGGTCAGAAATAAATGAAAAAGAAAAGAAGGAAACAATAGCAAAGATCAATAAAACTAAAAGCTGGTTCTTTGAGAAGATAAACAAAATTGATAAACCATTAGCCAGACGCATCAAGAAAAAAAGGGAGAAGACTCAAATCAACAGAATTACAAATGAAAAAGGAGAAGTGACAAATGACACTGCAGAAATACAAAGGATCATGAGAGATTACTACAAGCAACTATATGCCACTAAAATGGACAACCCTGGAAGAAACGGACAAATTCTTAGAAAAGCACAACCCTCCACGACTGAACCAGGGAGAAATAGAAAATATGAACAGATCAATCACCAGCACTGAAATTGAAACTGTGATTAAAAATCTTCCAACAAACAAAAGCCCAGCACCAGATGGCTTCACAGGCAAATTCCATCAAACATTTAGACAAGAGCTAACACCTATCCTTCTCAAACTCTTCCAAAATGTAGCAGAGGGAGGAACACTCCCAAACTCATTCTACAAAGCCACCATCACCCTTATACCAAAACCAGGCAAGGATGTCACAAAGAAAGAAAACTACAGGCCAATATCACTGATGAACATAGATGCAAAAATCCTCAACAAAATACTAGCAACAGAATCCAACAGCACATTAAAAGGATCATACACCATGATCAAGTGGGGTTTATCCCAGGAATGCAAGGATTCTTCAATATATGCAAATCAATCAATGAGATACACCATATTAACAAATTAAAGAATAAAAACCATATGATCATCTCAATAGATGCAGAAAAAGCTTTTGACAAAATTCAACACCTATTTATGAGAAAAACCCTCCAGAAAGTAGGCATAGAGGGAACTTATCTCAACATAATAAAGGTCATATATGACAAACCCACAGCCAACATTGTCCTCAATGCTGAAAAACTGAAACCATTTCCACTAAGATCAGGAACAAGACAAGGTTGCCCACTCTCACCACTATTATTCAACATTGTTTTGGAAGTTTTAGCCGCAGCAATCAGAGAAGAAAAAGAAATAAAAGGAATCCAAATCAGAAAAGAAGAAGTAAATCTGTCACTGTTTGCAGATGACATGATACTATACATAGAGAATCCTAAAGATGCTACCAGAAAACTATTAGAGCTAATCAATGAATTTGGTAAAGTAGCAGGATACAAAATTAATCCACAGAAATCTCTTGCATTCCTATATACCAATGATGAAAAATCTGAAAGAGAAATTAAGGAATCACTCCCATTTACCATTGCAACAAAAAGAATAAAATACCTAGGAATAAACCTACCTAAGGAAACAAAAGACCTGTATGCAGAAAACTATAAGATACTGATGAAAGAAATTAAAGATGATACAAACAGATGGAGAGATATACCATGTTCTTGGATTGGAAGAATCAACATTGTGAAAATGACTATACTACCCAAAGCAATCTACAGATTCAATGCAATCCCTATCAAACTACCACTGGCATTTTTCACAGAAATAGAACAAAAACTTTCACAATTTGTATGGAAACACAAAAGACCCCGAATAGCCAAAGCAATCTTGAGAAAGAAAAACGGAGCTGGAGCAATCAGGCTCCCTGACTTCAGACTATACTACAAAGCTACAGTAATCAAGACAGTATGGTAGGCAGGGGCTCCGGTACCGCCGGACCTCGGATGCCGCCGACGCCACCTTGAGGATGAACTGTTTACATTTTTATTTTCATCAAAGTGATATGTGGGGAGAAGGGGAAGATGGCGGAAGAGTAAGACGCGGAGATCACCTTCCTCCACACAGATACATCAAAAATACATTTACACGTGGAACTACTCCTACAGAACACCTACTTAACGCTGGCAGAAGACCTCAGACCTCCCAAAAGGAGAGGGGATTAAGAGTGCTGCTTAAAGGAGCTCCAGAGACGGGTGCGAGCCGCAGCTAACAGCGCGGACCCCAGAGACGGGCATGAGATGCTAAGGCTGCTGCTGCCGCCACCAAGAAGCCTGTGTGCGAGCACAGGTCATTCTCCACAACTCCCTTCCAGGGAGGCTGTGCAGCCTGCCACTGCCAGGGTCCCAGGATCCAGGGACAACTTCCCCGGGAGAATACACGGCGCGCCTCAGGCTGGTGCAACGTCACGCTGGCCTCTGCCGCCGCAGGCTCGCCCCGCACTCCGTACCCCTCCCTCCCCCCGGCCTGAGTGAGTCGGAGCACCCGAATCAGTGGCTCCTTTAACCCTGCCCTGTCTGAGAGAAGAACAGACGCCCTCCGGCGACCTACACGCAGAGGTGGGGCCAAATCCAAAGCTGAACCCCGGGAGCTGTGAGAACAAAGAAGAGAAAGGGAAATCTCTCCCAGCAGCCTCAGGAGCAGCGGATTAAATCTCCACAATCAACTTGATGTACCCCGCATCTGTGGAATACCTGAATAGACAACGAATCATCCCAAATTGAGGAGGTGGACTTTGAGAGCAAGATTTATTATTTTTTCCCCTTTTCCTCTTTTTTGTGAGTGTGTATGTGTATGCTTCTGTGTGAGATTTTGTCTGTATAGCTTTGCTTTCACCATTTGTCCTAGGGTTCTATCTGTCGGTTTTTTTTTTTTTACTTAAAAAAATTTTTTTAATAATTATTTTTTTATTTTAATAACTTATTTTATTTTACCTTACTTTATTTTATTTTCTTTTATCCTCTTTCTTTCTTTCTTTCTTTCTTTCTTTCTTTCTACTTTTTCTCCCTTTTATTCTGAGCCATGTGGATGAAATGCTCTTGCTGCTGCAGCCAGGAGTCAGTGCTGTGCCTCTGAGGTGGGAGAGCCAACTTCAGGACACTGGTCCACAAGGGACCTCCCAGCTCCACGTAATATCAAACGTCGAAAATCTCCCAGAGATCTCCATCTCAACACCAACACCCAGCTTCACTCAACCACCGGCAAGCTACAGTGCTGGACATCCTATGCCAAACAACTAGCAAGACAGGAACACAACCACACCCATTAGCAGAGAGGCTGCCTAAAATCACAATAAGTCCACAGACACCCCAAAACACATCACCAGATGTGGACCTGCCCACCAGAAAGACAAGATCCAGCCTCACCCACCAGAACACAGGCACTAGTCCCCTCCACCAGGAAGCCTACACAACCCACTGAACCAACTTTAGCCACTGGGGAAAGACACCAAAAACAACAGGAACTACGAACCTGCAGCCTGCAAAAAGGAGACCCCAAACACAGTAAGATAAGCAAAATGAGAAGACAGAAAAACACACAGCAGATGAAGGAGCAAGATAAAAACCCACCAGACCTAACAAATGAAGAGGAAATAGGCAGTCTACCTGAAAAAGAATTCAGGATAATGATAGTAAAGATGATCCAAAATCTTGGAAATAGAATAGAGAAAATGCAAGAAACATTTAACAAGGACCTAGAAGAACTAAAGATGAAACAAGCAACGATGAACAACACAATAAATGAAATTAAAAATACTCTAGAGGGCTTCCCTGGTGGCGCAGTGGTTGAGAGTCCGCCTGCCGATGCAGGCGACACGGGTTCGTGCCCCGGTCTGGGAAGATCCCACATGCCACGGAGCGGCTGGGCCCGTGAGCCATGGCCGCTGAGCCTGCGCGTCCGGAGCCTGTGCTCCGCAAAGGGAGAGGCCGCAACAGTGAGAGGCCCGCTTACCGCAAAACAAACAAACAAACAAACAAAAAATATTAGCAGATAGAATTCAGCAACATACAAAAAGAATTATACAACTATAACCAAGTGGGGATTATTCCAGGTGTGCAAGTCTGGTTCAATATTTGAAAATCAATCAATGTAATCTCACATTAATGGGACAAAGAAGAAAAATCACATGACCATATAACTTGTTGCAGAAAAAGCATTTG